CCCAATTTTATGTTTGGATAGGTACATGTCTGTGACTTGCAGAGGCAAGGACATAGGCCTTCTGATTTGTAAATCTAGCTGAAGTTTCCTGTGAACTTTCTGTACTACGTTTATTGTACTTTGTGATGTCCTGAAACATGCAGTCCCTAACCAATTGCAATGATGATTTTTTTTTTTCAAATTCAGGCCTTTTTTTGTTGACTCAAAGTATTTTGAACTAATGCAGCACAAACATTTGCCTATTTTGCAAGGAGTAATCAGTGATGAAAGCAAGGGTGTAAAAGTGAGCTTTAAGGTACAAGCATGAAGTTGAACATTAATACCAACAAATCCAAACTGCGTACCACAGTGTGTACTTACATGTGGGATATGCTACCCTAACCTATCTCTTAAATAGGAAGTAATTTCCAAAGATGGAAGTGTTGGCCTAAGACTAAGAAGGCAAGAATTTGATTTCCAGCTCCACTGCTGGCACTTGTCTTGGCCTCAGGTAAGACAGCATGTACCTCCTTGTGCCTTGATTAGCTGCTGGCAGAACAGAAAATGTGAGCCTACCTCCCGCAGCACAGCAGCTTTAGGGCTGCAAGTGGAAAGCTAAGTGGTTTGTTGAGCTCAGACTGCAGAATTACTTTGTTTAAAGAAATTTCAAAGAAACTGCCTCATCTTGACCTGAAGTCTTCACTCAGATTCCATCTTTAATAAATATTAAAAATATTGCCTGGAATTAATCAGCAGGTCAGTAGTAAATTAGAGAGCTATTTGTTAGACAAATATGAATGCATGAAAGTAATGTATGTTTTAAAAATATATATATTTTTAAAGGTAATGCTGTATTTTTTTTTTAAACTTGTATCACAAACTGTACTTAGTACTTTCAAAATTTATTTGACGTTTTCACCATTACTTTCCATACAGTTTTGTTGATTTAAGGTATCAGACTGCTAAAAAAAGTAATCCTAAAAGCAACAGTTTTTACACTTGGTTTTTCTGTCATTCAAGTCTACAAGCGAAACAGTGATGCATGCTTCATATTTTGTTCTCTTAGAATTAGCACAATAACCCAGAGTCTTTCTGCAGCTACAGTTGTAGAGAAGGTGTTGCAAAGGTATAATGGGGAGTTGAATTTGGCCTACACTATGCATTTATTCTTTCCACTCAAGAAATTAGCACTGTTGTGAAACATAGGCCTTCCCTCTCCAAATACACCCTTTTTATCCTTGAAATATTAACATTTTCCCTACCGAAAGATGTAATTTGCATTAGATTCTTGTTTATCTCTCCAGCTTTTGCACATCCATGACTTGTCCTGACCTTGAATGAATTCAGTGTCATGGTAGACTTTAGAAGGGAGACTGAAGGAGGTATTTTCTTTCTCTGTTTAAGAAGGACTGAAGGAGAAGGGCTGTCTCATGCCAGAGCTTTCACTGCTCAGAAACAGTCCCCAGAAAGGCTCTGTCCTCACCTTCTCAAGGGTTCCCATCCTTACAGCTTTGCAATAGCTGTGCTGTATGGAAGCAAAGCCAGTTTTCCCTTCTCAGGTGTTAGAGGAACAGGTGTTGAGATTTGGAAGGATAAAGCAGTCAGTGTCCACAGGGATGGGAGGAAATAGAGAATAAGTGCTGGTAGTCTGCATTAAGTAGTATTAAAATTATACCTGGGAGATGAGAAGGGGTTATTAATGGAACATGGTTTTTTATTGTACTCTGGTTCTCACTTAATATGCATAAAACATTATCCCATATCTTATGCATCCATATGCATGGGAAATGTATAGGAAATGTCACTTTCAAAATGCGATTAATGCTTGTTCTGCATACACAAATGAGGACTATCCATTACATATGAGTGTCATAGGTGTTAGTAAAGTTTTACTATTAAATGTTAAAAAAAGTAATAGTTACTCACTGGTAGAATGTATCTAGGGAATAGTATTTGGGGTTTTTCCCCCATATTATTGATTACTGGCTGTTCCTTTAGCTAGTATTTTATATATCTATTTTGGAAGAAGAAATATACAAGGCAAGTAAAATAGTACTGGGAAGACTGTATTGTTTGGCCTGACAATAAAATTTTTCAAGAAAAATGGTCACTAACTAGGACCATTTTCACACTGAAGTCAGTTTTAGTTCCTCTGTGTTTAACATCAAACTGATCTGTTTTCTTCATTTATCCTGTGTGGACTGTTTGCAAATGCAAACAATAAAACTGAGCTCATAGCATGTCTTTGTCAATTATCATGGCTATATGCTGGCCTGCAAAAATCCCTGCAATTATCTTAAAAGACAAGCAAACTATAAAAAATTAGAATACTGTAGGTAAAAGTCATCCAGCCACTAATTGTTAAGTTTGTCCATTTCCTGTATATTCCTTCATTTTCCATTGTTTTTAACTTAGGCGGCCTTAAACCGGTGAGGCTGAAATCTTTCACATCACCTCTTTACTTGAGAATGAGTATCTTGAAAATTGAAAGAGCTGTTTTTCAGTACAAGAGTAGGGAAAAATACATCAGTACTCTGTACAAAAGGAATAATATAAAATGAAGCATAGCAGGAATAAATAGAGACCTTACAGAAATAAGAGAAAGGACTGAGCAGCAAAGAAAGCTGTGTCTTTGTAGTCAGGAAACGAGCATTGAGGAGAGAACTACCAAAGGCAAAACTGCATTAAACCTTGCCAAGGAAATTAAAGCAAATAGCAAAGATTCTTTAACCTTATAAATAAAAGTGGAAAAAGGGAAGAGAGGAGACTACTGCAAGCAATGTGCACTCTCTCACTCTGCCTTTTTCTTCCCTTTTTTCCTTTTTTAGTATTTAGCTTTATTAACTAGCTCTTTGACAGTGAAACATTGTCACTGCAACTGCAGAACCTCCTGTGTGCGCTACTCGCCTTCCGCGGGGGAGTTCTTGCTCTCTTAATACTTGTTTCACACAGAATAAATGAGCCCTGAAGGGCAACTTTATCCAGCCCATACCCTTCCCCAGTGTGGATGCAGGCAGGGCTTCTCAGCGGCAAGGGACACAGCAAAGACCCGTGTAGCCACTGCACCAGTGAGACATCCAGTATTTATCCTTCTGAGCAGCGCATGGGGTCTCAGTGTGAAAACAGCGACATGCCATGGGTTACCACTGGCTTTTTCCATCTTGTATGGGTTCTTCTGCTTTGTATGAGCAAGGAAGCTTCAATTCTCGTGGGCAAGGCAGCATCTTCTGCTGTAGTAGTAGTGTAATTGAAGGTATGATTAGGGGCAAAAGGCAGACAAGTAAAGACTATAGTAGCCCAATGGTAGTTTAGGGGTGACCAAAGTCAAAAGGGTAACAAGGGTTTCTAAACAAAGTAGTGTCCTTCTCAAGTCTCAAGGATTTAGTCTTGATACTGGTTGGAAATCAAACTGTTCAGCCTTCCTGGTTGAATTAAAGAAAATGGTCTTCTTATTCTTGCAGTGATAGGCACCTCCGTATAGATAAATTCCTAATGAAAAAAATGTATAGTTAAATAAAATTTTGATTGCAACAACTATTAGTCATCTTACCTCTCTTGTGGGAACAATACTTGCTCAGCATATGTTAGTGGAGGATTTCCTCAGATGGACAGACAAGAATGAAAGGAGGAACAGTAACAAAAATGTCACATTTTTTCTAGTGTCTGTTCATTGTGTAATGCAGCTACAAAGTCATCATATTCACATTCTTACTTGTCTCATTGAATAATAAATAGTAATCAAATTACATGGAGATGACAATGCAGAAATATTAACTGATGGAATTATTCCTTAATCTTAGAACAGTCTTCCATCTTTCAGTACTTTAAATTTGTACTCTTCTTTTTTTTTATCCTATTCCTTTTGAACAGTGCTAGTGTGAATTTTCACGTATATGTTATGGTTGTTTATATAGTACACTTCTTTCAGAAGGGATTTTTTATACAATAAAGTAATTAATTACACAAACTTACTAACATAAACCAAACCATGTAAAGCAGCAGTATAACAAATGAACAGTCATCATTCACAGAAACTTAGCCAGACCTTTCATATATCAGAGATGCATGTAAGTGCAGGACTAGCCTAAGCCACAAGCAGTCCAAGTAATATATGCCATCCCTTGTGCATGGCTTTTCTGGCTCCCCACTCCTGCAATTGGTGTGGATGGATTGCACCACAGAAATTGCCTAGTTCTTTCTTTTTCCCCAGGAAATATGTAGGGCAACTTAGCTATCTCTCTCAGGGTATGAAAGTCTCACAAATCTTCTGCAATTTGTCATGAAGCTGGCAAAGTGTGCAGTGGCTATGAAGACCACAGCAAATAGTATCTTACAGATATTCTGTCAGGTCAACAGGCAAAGAACTCACTGTAAGCCTTAACCTCATCAGCTGTGCTCATGGTCCATAACCATACCCATACAGTGCTTCAGAACAGCAGGGTTTTTTCAGTTGCTGATTTTGATTGGTTGTTGCTTGGAGAACTGCCCACTGCTGTGACAAAAAGCCTCTAATGGCCCAATTTTATCTCTTTGTTTTTTCAACATTTTTTTGTGTAACAAAATTTATGTGTAAACTTTTGTGTAACAAACACCTAAGATTTTTAATATAAAAAAAAAAAGAAAGGAAGGTGGACCTGTGGTTTAAATAAGAGGTTTGGAGACCAAGTTTTGTTTGTACTGCCTTGTTCAAGCATGTTCCTTGAGCTTATGCTAGGTGTGTAACCTCCCTATCCCACTTTACTCAATACTAAAATGAAGATGATCCAAAATAATGGAAACCTTAGAAGACTTGATGTAAATATTTCCAAACTGATCTGACATTTTCATATGGCTGATTAACTAGCTTTTGGACAATTTATTTTTCATCTGATAAAAATTTACTCATTACCACTATATTCCTATTTTTCATAGAGAAAATCAGATGGAACTGAATTTTTAGCCTAATTTTCACCACTTCAAAACATGTAGTTTTGCAGCAAGCTCTGTACTCAGCAGGTTTCTTTCATGTCCCTGGTTTTCAGGTTGTGCTGTGAACGGTCATCCAACCCCGCACATCACCTGGCTTTACTCTGGCGAGCCTCTCGGCCTGCGACACCACCTCCTGGCAGAGGGCCGGATTCTTCAGATACTTAATGTCAGTGATGCTCCTGATGGTGAATTCAGCTGCCTTGCTCAGAATGAGGCTGGCTCGCTCACACAAAAAACGTCCTTGGCTATACAAGGTAACTTTCCAGTTCCAGTCCTGCTGCCCTGTAATGCTCTTACCATGGTCTTCCCTGCTCTGCCTTTCTCATCTTGGATTTATCCTCCCTGAAGGCAGGACTGTCGTGTGCACCAGGAAATTGATGTTTTGATGTTTTACTGCCAGGGATGTAGATTTGCAGGACTACTGAGTACCTTACAGTATCTTAGATTTTACTTTACTTTTCGGGCCTGCTGAGCATAAAACACACCTTAGCGATTCAAGCTACACCTACGCCTGTTGAGTCTTGACAGTTTTCTTGTCCAGAAAATCAAGACAGATGTGTCATAGTTTGAACTCCTAAAATTAGAAGCCCCTCTGTTAATCTTCTAAAGTCAGTGTTTCACAGTCTCTTCTTGCTTGAAAACCCTTCACTTGTGAAAATACTGCAACTGTTGTATTTACCCTAGAAATACACTGAAGTTGATAAAGCCACTGAACTTATATCCACACTGATAAAGCCAGTGTGGATGGGTTGGTACAGAATATGCAGCTTTTACTGATCCAGTTCTCGGGGATGGAGTGGAGAAGAATATGACTTTTCCTTAAATTTTGCCATAAAATTTTAAGTGTGTTGCAACTCCCCCATTTGTCTTCAGGATAAATGATCTGTATGATTTACCTGTTGAGAAATACACTGCTGTAAGATCACAGAATCGTAGATGCTGCTGGTAACTGCAATTAACCACATCTTCACTAAATCACACCTCTTTAAAAATATGGATGCAGTGTCCTGCATCACTGGCATCATTCTTCACTAAACTGCTCTACCATGTCATTCGTTTTCCATGCCTGACGTTTCTAAGCACCAAAAAATTGTGTTTGTTACACCAAAGACAGTAACTGGCCTACATCACCTGGAATCATGTTTCTTCTTTGCTCATTGCGTGGTGCCTTGTAGTCATAGGTAGCTCCCCTCCACATGAGACACCGGGTCCATATATTTCATCCTGGAGAATACTTACAACTCTTTCTTTTCTAAGGGTATCCTTCTGGCAGTTTTTGGATCTTAATGTGTTTCTTCCTCACTTTTTGGCAGAATACCAGTGGTCAATGGACAAGCTGATGGCTTGTTCATCTTCGTGCGGCCACAGAGGGGTTCAGCTGCCCCAGCTGAGGTGCTTACTGGATGGGGCTGAAGTCAACATATCCCACTGCAAGGAGAAGCCTAAGCCAGCCCTGCAGCCCACTGCATGCAACAGGAGAGACTGCCCTTCACGGTTTGTCTGCCCCATGTTAAAATGTCATACCTGCTTTTAAGATGTGCTTGAAGAGTTCTTTGCACTGGACATCATGCCATCACAGCCTCTCTGGTGCCTGTCTGGATAAAAGTCATGGCTAAAAGGGAATATATGAGTGCTTAACCTAGACAGTTGGGAATTTGTAACAAGATTTGTGGAAAACATTGGCAGTACACAAGTAGAAAAAGAGTTTACTCCTTCAATAATTAGGTTAGAAAATAATTGGGGCTATCGCCTACTCTTTATTAGTAAAGTTCACAGCTTGAGGTGTCTTGGGTGATTCCAGTCTCACCCTGTGTTGGATATCAATATCATGCCTGTTCTGATCTTTCTTCATATGGGAGTTTCATCACCCAAGAACTGTAGGGTCATATCTTTTTGTGTTACACATGGCTTTGTACGAGTTTATCCCAGCAATATAACAGGCGAGAAGCTAGGTTTAGCAGCTATTTGGGGGTTTTATTCTGAGTTCCTGTCTTGCCTGAACATCAATATGGGCCAGACTGCAGCTACAGCTGTAAACAATTCCCTTAGCAGAATGGAAATGCCTGTTGTAAAATATGATGGGTCACATCCCATCATATCTAGTGGGCATGAAGCGGGGTCAGACTGAGTTCTGCCTCCTTTTGGAGACTGATAACTTGTGGTTATCTTGGGATTGTAACTCTCTGCCCCTGTAACCCCCTTTTTTTCAGTTACTGTTAAACACAATGGAGACAGGACAGCTTGAAAGACTTCTGATAACACTTAGGTCTTCCTCTGCTGCTTCCTCCCTATGCAAAACACTTTCCTTCTTTGACATCCTTTGGTGTAAAGAATATACATCCTGAGTGCCTGTCCAGTCAGCATAGCGTTACACTCCATCCATGTTAAAAGTGTCCTACTTCTGCACATTAGTGGCTCCTTAGCTGAGATGTGTAAACATTATTTTCCATATTTTTCTGGGTTTTTACTCCCTCTTCTCCCTTATTTCCATTGTGGATATGGTGTGTTTCAGTATACAAGCACTTAAAAGTAGTCAGGATCTCAAGAGAAATTTAGTACAGCTTCTCTCATTCAACAGTGATTTGGGACTTGTATTAAAAAAGAGAGTCTAAGCTGTGGCAAGGAGAGGTGCTAAGCAAGCTGATGAGAAGTAAGCATCCAGATTTACCACTCTTAATGTGTATTTGGTATATGGCAAAGTTCTGTTTAATCACCTTTTAAAATATATTCCTACCCCTCTTTGCAGACAAATGTTTTCTGAGTTGCCAGCTGAGTCATAAGAGGGAAACCAAAAGAGATTTGGTGAAATACAAAACACATTCATTAGCAGCAGTTTCCCTTCATGATGGCAGTAAATTCTGTGGGAATGGTTTATGTCTTTTTATACTTTCCCTGAACTGTAACGCAACCCACAATCCTCCCTTAGCTCCTGAAAAACTGCTGAGATGTAAGCTTGGAAATAAAAGTTGATTGAAATGCAGAGCAGAGCTTTATGAGGCATGTGGAAACTTAAGATTCAAATCACCAAGCTGCATGAAAAAAAGTAGCAGCGTTTTTGTCTTCTCTGTTGGGAGTGTGTTTGTTTATATAGTTGTTTCTGTGACCATGGGAGTTAACCATCCGCAGAAGACTGAGGAATAGAAGTGGATGCCTCTCCATGGGACTGGAGAATGCCTAATGTTGACTTTGTAAAGTAATCATAAACACTGCCGGTGAGGGATGTGATAGGCACTTATTTCCCCCCCAGTAACACACAAATCCTGCCGAGTGTCCTGAACCTTAACAAAGTAAACTGCTGACTTGACCATGAAACTCTTCAGGAGACTAGTAATCAGTTGCATCCTTCCTGTTCCTACCTACCTCCTTCCCAAACCTGACTGTATGAGTGTTTCACTTAATGATCCTTAAAGACACAAAATGTGTTGTCCATGTTGGTAGGGGTTTGGACCTACACTATTATTTTCTGCTGTTATGAGCTTTTTAGTATTTAGACTGGGTTTTTTAAACCCCAGCACATAGGGGTTCAGAGCCTCAGCCCCAGCTGACAAATGCGTAGTCTGAGCTCAAGAAGAAAGAAGAAAGGTGTCTTTTGTCCCTGACCTGACTATGCACTGGCCCCAACCCTGAGCAACCTTCAGACTTCGCTGGATTATCCCAGGTGTCAGGTCCATAACAGAGCAGACAGACACTAGCAGGACCCAGCAGCCTTTTGGCTATTCTTTCAGCAGCATGTTCAAAGCAGCCTGTGAGCAACTCTGGCAACTTTGTGCAGATAGTCTTCCCTACCAAGGGGTGTAAATGAGCTTGTCATTGTTGGTATTGTGACTGCAGTCTGTGACCAAGGCCTCCGTGGCACAGTGGTGTAAAACTAGCCATGCCAAACCCCTGTGCCTGAGCTAGAAATATTTTCCAAACCTTTAAAAACAGCCTTAAGGGCTATAAAATTAATTCTGGACCCAAAGAGCCTTGAGAAAGATAATTTAATTAAAAACATGCTCTTTTCTCAGTTTTTATCCTCTGAGCAGTTTTCAGTGACTACTGTGGAAGGCTGAAGCACTCATCACCTTCCAGGATCACACCCTAAGTGAACCAAGCTATTGTTGCTTTTCTTTGGTCCAGCACACGAAGACCTGTTAATACCAGTGAACCTGCAGATGGTGGCACATAGCTCCTCCCTGACCTATTTGCCTTTCTCTCACAGATGGATGGTAACATCGTGGTCTCCGTGCACACGGAGCTGTGGCGGAGGCATCCAGATGCGGCGAGTGACATGCCAGCGCCTGACAGCGAAAGGAAGTTCTGTCCCAATGTCAAATGAGGCTTGTGCCCAGGTGTCCAAGCGTCCCGTGGACACACAGAACTGTAACAGGCATCCCTGTGTTGAGTGGGTGGCCTCCTCCTGGGGCCAGGTAAGGAACAAGCCAACAGTTCAAGGACAGCCTCATAGTGTGGGCTAGAAATAAGTGACAGAAAATGAGAGGAGTGATTTTGCACCCTGGTATCTTTGGGTTATGGTCTGCAGGCTTTTGAGGAGGCAGCTGATTTGCTCAGCTCTTTCAACTCCATATTTGGTGCACTGCATGCTCAGATATCTCCCGTGATCACTTGTGTGAACAGGACTTCTACTGCAGACCTCTGTACCATCCCCAGTGGAAAGGTCTGCAGTTCCTCTTTATAATGACAGAGGGCACATCTGGGAAATAACCTTCTCCAAGATCTAATTGCTCTTACCACCAAGTGAGCGTGGTTCAGTTTTGGCTGGCAAGAGTCAGGACCGATGCTTGTGATAGGTTTGGGGCATGGGTGTTGTACAATAACCCAGTCTTACAAAGTTGCTGATGTTGCCTGAGAATGCCAAAAAGTGGGAGCTTTCTTGATTTGCTTCATGACAAAAAGCAGAATGGAGAGCTAAAAGCATTTTGAGACGATTTCATGCTGTTTTGCAGATCTTAAAATTCTCTCCTTGCAGCTTCATTCAAAGATCAGATGTTAATAAACTTCACTCCATAAATATCAAATGTTCCAAGTATTTAGAATTAAATCACTTTATTGTGGGAATCCACAGAAGAGTTTTGTGTCTCTGTGATCTGTGAGATTTTCTGGAAAGACACTTGTCAGTATGTAGTCAATTATAATCTGAGACCTGTCATTACTATGTGCTTTCCCTCCTTTTCTCTCCACTCCAGCTTGACTGAGCCATATATGAAGGTTGATGAGTCCATTACAGTCCACGTTTAGAAGTAGAAACTCACAGATTTTAGCCCAAAGTTCTCCAGTGCGGTGATTCATACAGGGGTACAGCATTCCAGTGTGAATGAGAGACAGTGTTAAAACCACAGAAGCTGATTTTGCTAGAGATTAAAGCCAGATACCATACTTCTATAACATCACTTCTGGTGAAATAAACATTTTCAAAGGGAAAAAGAAAAAGCTGTTTGACAAAACTGAAATAATCATACATCTAATTGAAATGATGAGTCAAGTAAAGGTATAGAAGAGAGGCTTCTTACCATGCAGGGAGAGGCTAAGAAAATAATTACTCAGAGTATGAAATATCTTGCCTCCTTTTCTAATTAACATGTGGTAAGCCAGTTTGAAAACAATGGCAAATGCTATCTCACTGTATTAGAGGTTAGAATAATATGACAGTTTGTTATTAATAAACACATGTATTCTGTATTTGCTTGGGTGCTTTGCACTTCATCAGAGTTTTTTACAATGCTGGCAGTAAAAACTGTCTTCAGCTACTAGAATTTGTTATTGTTCACTATTTAAAAACAACTTCATTTAACTCTTGTCTGTGTATTTTGGAAATTCCTTACATGAAAGGTGGTTGAGTTTTAAGTATTACATTTATGAGTAAAACTTGGAATTATCCTTTTATATGAAAAAAAGCAAATTTTCACTCTCTGTGGAATTCCAGGTAAGGCCTGGATTATCCTTGCAAAAAAAAAGTTACGTCATCCTTATTTTGTAGATCATTACAGGCTATATTGTTTCCCGTTACATCATACTCAGATGAGGCAATCAAAGAGATCTGAATTAATTTATTAGACCCAACCTCTGTACATTATAATATTTCTTCTACCTAGCTTAAAAAAATAATCAAGTCCCATATGATTCTATACAGCTCAGACTCCAAGCAGAAGACTGTTATGTAATTACGGTTAGTTTAGGAACAAACCACCGATTCAGTGAATCATTGAGCTTCTTGGTAGTATCATGGTATATCAGGTCCCTTTTGCCCAGGTGTAGTGACCAACTTTCCCAACTCACAGAGAAAATAAACAGACTATCTACTCTAACCCCACCTCTAGAATGATTTCCTTTCTTTCATTTAATGTCAGTGGCATTTTGATCTCCACTGTGTAATCCCATAGTATTTTAAAGCTTGTTGGTGATGAGGACTGCTAGCCCCAGCAGATATCACAGAAGCGCTCCACATACTCTGACAAATGACATTTCCATCCATTGCTCAATGGGGGAGTTTAATGGAAGCAAGTAGAAACCTGGCAGTAACTGCTGCTCTCCCCCAGTTGTCAGAGATGAAAGAAATAGCAGTGAGGATTATTATTTGAGGAGTGTATGGTAGTGTGAAATAGGGCTCCTCCTGATGGGGGAGTGGAGAGGGAAGAGGTGTTGATCAGCAGCCGTCCCCTGGCAAAAATTCCTCCCTCACACTAAGGTCCCATTCTTCAACCCTCAGTCTATTCTTGAATATAATTTCCAGATACTTAGAAAAACAAACTGTTTCCTAACAGTATAATTTTAAAATAATACAAGTACATGCTTCATACCTATAGCTAATTATGATTTAATCAAAGGAGAGGATTAGAAGAGTTAAATAGTAAGCATCTGATTGATAAACTTGAATAGGTTAGGATGAACTCTGTATTGGAGCAAGCTTACAGATCTGCTGTGTTCGTCATGCTAGCTGCTTTTGTTTATTGTTTTGCATTGCTTTTGAATTATGGAGTGGAATATGTTCTCAATTCAGTGCGTTCTTGGCTATTACCTATTTGCCCATAAATTGTGGTCGTACAAGCTGCAAAATGCACAGTAAAAGGAACATATTGAGATTTCCTGTATGGATCATAGGCTCTTGGCTAATGACATGAGAGCATTTTATTTGCCCTAACAGACATATTTAAGATTGAACTATTGAACAATTGAGGTATCAAATCTACAGAGAAAATATAGAAATGCAGTTTTAATGCTGCTGGAGGAGAGTGAGGTAGGTTAGAATATAACTGCTCTCAGCCTTCAAAGCCTGCAGAGCTGCAGGAAGTGCTCAGAAGCTCAACAGTCACTGCACGGCAGCATGCCCTTTATTTCACCAGCAGTGTTATGAAAAGAAAACATGTCCTGGCTTTTACCTCCCTTAAGTGATTTTTCTGTGTTCACAGTGCAACGGACCTTGCATTGGACCACGACTGGCTGTACAGCACAGACAGGTATTTTGCCAGACCAAAAATGGGAGTTCTGTGTCATCTGATCAATGTGGTGTCTTACCAAGGTAGGAAAGGAATCTCTTATGTCTGAAACCACTACCCTTTGCAGAGATGTTGAATGAACTTGTGACTTAACTGACAACTTTTGGGTTTCCCTTGTGTAGCAAAGAGGTTATGCTGCAACACATACAGTTACGTGGTATAAATCTCACAAAGTTTAAGCCTAGGCTTCACTATTTGTTCCTATGAGCCCTGGAAAAAATCACTTCTAGGCATGCCAAATCCTGACTGAAAAGCTGTGCTAACTCTTCTTAAGCTGCCAGTCTGCTCCTCTCTTATTCAAACACAAGCTGTAACTGGGGAAAAAAAGAATTCCACGGCTGTGTTTTCCTGCAGATAAACTTGACTGTCCACATTGTAAAGACATACCTACTTTATATGTGACATATGTATGTAAATCATGCCTGATGATGAATGAAAATTAATATAATTGGATCTTTGGCTCCCACTCATGTATTTTCATTATCTGTGTTACAAAGAGGTGGGAACCAAGTGTGCCTGTGCATCTTCTGTTGAGACTGCATTGAAGGAAAAAAGAGGGGTTCAGAGAATTCGTTTGTTCCCACTGGCTACGAAGTCATAAAAAAGTTACAAAGCCCTGCTGGGTCTTACTGGTTGCCACTTCATTCATTGCATCTTTTTGGTGGAACTCTGGTTTGGCACTTCATGGAAACAACATTTTGGCCAAATCCTCAAATACTTCAAATGGTCATTTAGCTCCAGTAGTGCTATACCAGTGTGCACCCACTGACAGTCTGGTTCTTGAGTGCAGTTACAAACTGTCTTTCAGTGCACTGGAGTTACCTCCATTTGGACCCATTGTAGACCTGACCCATACAGTGGTCTGAGTGAATTACATTTGGGATATGCAAGGCTTGCTGTCCCCAGAGCTTGCATGACACCTGGAGTAGCATGCTCTTGCTCTGTGGGCAGCGTGGTGACAGGTCACACCTCCTTCCCTTCTGCCCACAGGCCATTGAGCACCCAGAACTGCTGGACTGACATCTGCAGTGTGCACTGGAGGGTCAGCCTGTGGACCGTCTGCACGGCTACATGCGGAAACTACGGCTTCCAGTCCCGACGCGTGGACTGCGTGCACATCCACACCAGCAAGCCCGTGCTGGAGCATCACTGCTCCTGGAGGCCGCGGCCAGCAAACTGGCAGCGCTGCAACATCACTCCCTGTGAAAACGGTACTTTGCTGAGAGGAGGGGAGGCAGTGGGGTGTGGGGGGGAGGAAAGAACGAAAAGTTGTCTCAGAAATGCAGCAATGGACCTTGAAAATGGGTGTCCTAGGGAACCTCCAGCCTGAATATGTGCAAAATGAAGTGTCCAAAACTCAGCGCCCCAGCAAGGAATGGTGCCCATTGTGGTTTGCTAGCAATGGTGTTAGTGCTGGGATTGAATCCCCTTGCTAATAGCTTGTGAAGTGGCTGATGTAGACTTTCCATTAATGGTACAGACAGAAAGAAAAACATGAATCACAGACTGCTGTCTATAGTTAAAATACAGTAAGTCTGAATCCAGTGGGTAGGCTGATGATGGGAATTCCTGGACTGGGGGCTGCTTGCTTTCAGGTGACAAACAACTAATTGGGCCTGCCAAAGAACTAGAAAAGTAACAGATATTTAAAAAAAAAAAAAAAAAAAAAAAAAAAAAAAAAAAAAAAAAAAAAAAAAAAAACCAAAGAAGAACAGGTGATGTGTCTCTTTGGAAACAATGCCCCACTATGGCAACATCTGCTTGGGAAACACAAGGCAGCACAAGTTTAAATCACTATCTTTTCATTTGCCCCAGCTACCCATGTGCTGATTTTGATGGGTGCACAAGCTGGTTGCTGTGCAGCCATCACAGAAGCAGCAGCAGAACCCATCTGTGCTTGCCTACAGCTGCACCAGCTCTGACGCTCCCTCTCAGCAGAGGCAAAGCAGATGCCATAGGTCCAAATCCATAAGCTGAGTCTGGGGTGCCTTAATGGAAGTGGAGGAACTGAGGGAACTTACAGGTACCAAACAAGACCTTTGCTATCACTCCAACCTCTTCCTGCTATATAGAAATGTCCCACATCTAGACAACAGTGGAGTTATTTGGCACAGACATTGCTGGAGAGGACTGTACAACTGACCTGTGATGATCCCCCTTTTCAGCCTTGGCATGGGAAGTGGGACTCCCTCAGGCAACAACACACCCAAGGTCTTATGGGGATACTGGACCATTTTCCAATCTGGAGCTCAAAAGCAGGAGGCTGAGGGCCTCAAAAACTGTCCAAATGATACCAGGACCCAAGTCCTAAGGGAGTTCAAAGAGTGTCTTAACTTCTTCACCTCCGGCTCTATTCTGCAACACACTTGTGAAAAAAACAATACCCGGACATCTGGGGTGACACCCGCACACACTACCTCTTCAAATGCAAAATACTGGCCAAAGTGCCTTTGAGTTATGCTGCTAAAATAAGTTTCCAGTTTTATTTACTACTTCATCTTCAGTTTAGCAATGGTTATGAAACTCAGTGCTGATAAATGACAAACTGAGAGTGTTGGAGCAGACTCAGAAGCCCTCTTCTCAGGCTTTGAAAGCAAAGGCTGCCCACCACGTTCTCCTTTGAACCTTCAGCTGCTTGAAGTCCCTGCTCAGTCTTTGCAGCAAGTCAAGCTCATGCTCATAGTGAGACCTCCTGATACAAATCTGTCTTGGTCCCCCTCTTGGCCATCCCAGGATATGTTCTCAGGTAAGAAATCTTTCTTTCATTGCTTCATTACCATTTCTCCTTTTTGTTTCCCCTTTGGCAGTGGAGTGCAGAGACACCACAAGGTACTGTGAGAAAGTGAAGCAGCTCAAACTCTGCCAGCTCACCCAGTTCAAGTCACGCTGCTGTGGGACTTGTGGAAAAGCTTGAAGACAAAAGCAATGAAAACGGAGGAACAAGGGGATCACAGCCTTTGCTTCACTGAGGCAAGGACTTTTACAGAAAATTTAAATGGAATGGAATTCTTTTTTTCATTTTATTTATTTCCTTAAAGAGAAAAAAAAAAAAAAAAAAAAAAAAAAGACAACCATTTACCAAATCATTGTTGTAAAGGAACTTGACAAGTTTTCCCTTTTATATATCCGGGAGACAGAATTCAGCAAAACAAGGTCATGAGGTTAGACCACGAACAGTCACTAAGCCCCACACCACCAACAATGGGCCTGAGAGGAGTGAGGCTGCCCCATAATCCATGTACATGGCTGAGGCTACACCAACAGACAGATGGGGAAGTGGATCAGAGTAAAAACCTAGCATCACATTGGACCACTGCACATATGAAACAAATAATCAAACAGCTTAACAGGTCATAGGTACTGGAGAAAAAAAAAGGTTAAAGTAAATATTCAGCTATTCAGTATACAGATACATCTATCTTAGACTACTTTGAGAAAATAAGCATAAGGTTTTGCTTTATAAACCTATTTGTTGCATCCAAGATTGGATTCCTTTTTTTTCTTTCCAAACCCCTCTCTCCTTCTTATGCTAGCATTTCAAATTATTTCAGTGGGAGATCCTTGTAATCTTTGAGGATCTGGTGTCTGGGGAAGTTGAGCAATGGTGTGTAATGTGAGTGAGTCTAAAACACCTGAAAATGTTCCCAGGTTGTGCTTGTGAGGTAGGATTGGGAATAGGAGGATTGCCCTCAGCACAGGGGTGAGGTGATGATAATTATTATCCAGGAGAAGGAGAGAAAGTATGATCTGCTATTGACCGACTGTAATACAAACCTGAAAATTATGTCCTGTAGTGAGCACAGGCAGGAAAGATAAAAATTTTCTGTGGTAAGAGGAGCTACTTCGCACGCTGCATCCTACTAACACCTGTTTGGAAAAGAGAGGAGTACAGTTCCCAGAGTTCATGTGCTCTCAGACTTGGGGTTTTGGAAAGGAACTTGAGGAAGTGAGTTTTCCTATCCTGCTCAGGTGAAATTTCTCTCTCCTGGCAGCCAAGCCTTTTGGACAAGTAGTAGGTAAGACTTCTTGTGGTTATTCCTACTCAGCAGAAACAGAATGGATACATCATCAATTACTGGACTAATGACAATAATTTTTAACAGGCTTGCTCCTCTCCAGCTGCCTCCCACAACAAAACATGCTATAAAGCAGCACATTTTTAAGCCCATGTATAACACCCTGAAGATACAATCTAAAAAGTGAGGCTCAAACATCACACCCACAACATGACTTTGCATGCTGTCTGTGAGTCTTTCCCTCTGGCCAGCTGCAGTGGTTATTCAGCTAGTGAAGTGCTTCATCCCTTTAGTTCCTGGGCACTCTCTGCTCTGCTCAGAGTAGGGCCCTAAAATTAGAGGAAATCTGCAGAGTACGGGGTTTGAGCATTGTGAAACTTTAAAGGAGAGGTGTCTGGGTCTGAGGCTTTGGTTCAAGACCATCTCTAAATTAAAGGCTTGGCAGTCCCTCTCCCAGTGGGGCTTATGCCTTGTGGTATGTTAATGAAATGCTGTTCAAATACTGATGTGTTACAGCTGCCATGACATGTGGATTTTCCAGAAAAACTGGGGAGTCCACTTTTGAGGTCAGTGCCAGGTTCAGGACATTAAACTGTCTTGAGTTGCATTACTTCAAAACACATCTGGCAGGGAACACTCTTAGTACAAATGGGTCTTCAAGAAATAGCGTTGCTAAGCATCAGTGTAATGTTTTATTTAAAAAAAGAAGAATGTCTTTCTATGTATGTAAATGTATATCTTTTCTGTATATTTATTAGGATTTCTTGTATAAAAAGTGCAATATTAATAATTGTACATTATTTTGTACATTATTTTGGGTATTTCTTAATCTCCCCAGAATTTTGTTCCTCTAAAATCAACAGTAATAGTGTTTTTCTCTTAATTTTAATAGCACTTGCGTTTAATCAGGGATCTGCTTCACTGTGCATAGAGTGCTTTATAAACTATGACATGATGGAGGGATCATGTTTTTAACTTGCGAAATTATAGTTATGCATGGAATGAAGAACAATTCCTTAATAACAACAATAATGATGATGACGATGTGGTGGATATTTCTAGTACAGTAATTAACAAAAAACAGTACGAGGAAATATTTTCATTTGTTTAGTAGCAAAACAGATGATCACATGTCAAATAGTAGATGTGTAACTGTACACAGGATAAACACAAAGGATCAGATCTGGAGGGGCCACTGTGTTGTCTCTGCACAATGTGAATTTAATTTCATATGTCTGTCCTCTGAATTGTGACTTGGCAGCATCTCAGTAAGATAATGATTGCTGATTGGATAGTTTATGAAAGGACACTTTTCTTCCCTAAAAAGAAAACGAAACAGCAAATTTGTATTTATACAACTTTTTATACAAGTAATGCAGGTAACTTATTTAACTACTGCTGTCTGATGTGTTGTTTATTAATCTTAAAAACAAAAGTCATCAAAGTAACAAAGCTGTTGGAGTACCCTGTCCTCATTCTGTATTATGATAGCAGCACACAGCTGTTGCACAAAGTACAAATGATCAACCTGACTTGGGGAAAGAGGATGTCTTAACTTATTTTTAAAAGTCTCCAGCCATTAAGGTTCTGTACTCTGTCTTAGAGATCTGTTTTAATTCTTCATTTGCCTTGCTTTGTTCTTTTTTGCTAATGTCTTGCTTCTATTGCTCTTGCAGAAGTATAAAGCCATCACTGCTGGTCCTAGGATCATGGAAATCAGTAAAAGTATACTCCTTTTTTTAATATGCAGCAATGCTTAAAGACATCTTGTAACTCTCCTCAGCAACCTATGGCATGAAGCAACCCTTATTACTTCAGTCTTTCCTTATAGGTCGCTGCTGCCTTCAGTAATGGAGCTTCCAACTCCTTGAAGCATCAAGTATATATCTACAAGAAATCCTGGTAATGGTCAGAATTACAAAGGGAAAAGGAAAGAAGAAAAAAAAATAATAAAGCAATAGCATTTTCTCTTAACAAAGACAAAATCAAATTTTGAAAGCTAATCTGGTTCTGCCATTGCCCTTTTCAAACAAATGAATCAATGTCTGTTCTAAAAGGGAACAGTGAACAATTTCCCTAGTATGATATTCCTGCATATGCTTTTTAGACACCTACACTGCAGGTAAATTACACTCCATACATACAGAAACACAGACAGAGATGCAAGCCAAAGACCAGACCTCAGACTTCCAAGCAACAGTACTGAAGACAATGGGAATTCGGTCATTCATTTTGAGTAAAACAAGAATAGAATCTGGAGTTGATGTAAAATGAACAGCAGGCCAGCTTAGGTTCTCAAGAGAATAATTATTCTGGTTTTGTGCATATGATTCTAGTTACCAGTCAAGTCAAAAAGCCTTCAAAACCTTCAAAGCAAGCTTCCAGTTTAGTTCCCCCTACAAATTTTCCTTAATGAAGAAAAACAGTTCTGCAGCAAGCAGAAAAATGCAGTGCTGAAAGGTTCCCCACAGGAGACCTACTCTTGCCCCTTGTTACATGACAAGGTAAGCAAAGCTGTTTTCCAAAGTAACCTTTAGCTGGAAATTTTTTTACCTACTATCTGGCTGCAGTCATATGGACTCCAACTGAAGCTTTTTTTTCTTGTTAAGTTATGATACTTTTTGTAAATTGACCTATCAAACAGAAAGCTAATAATCACCTTACTGTCAGTTTGTTGTCCAAGCACTGATTCATACATAAATATGATTATTCATCAGCACAAACCTCTATTTGTAGAAAAATGTAAACCAAAAACTTGCTCTTTTCCAAATTTTCAGGACTGTAGAAGTCCTCTTAAGTTCTTAATGGCAGCTGTCAGTGAGTCACTGAGCATTTCAGGTAGTAGTTGAATGAATGAACTTCATTCATTCAACTATCTAATTTCTAACACAAGCTTTCAAACGGGTTTTAATGTCAGATTTTTCTCACAGGTTACTAATGTATACAGATAGGAAGCTCACAACTGCTAATGCTAACTATGGCTCTGCATATAATCTGCAGACCAGGGTTGTGGAATCATCAATTTAACCATTCCCTTAATGTTCTTATTTAAAGGCAAATGTATATTTATCAATAGTGTTATGTATTAACTGTCACACCCAGCTTTTATTTGTGGAAACTAAACAAAAGAAGGTGTCAAATACTTCAGTTTGCACAAAATTGAGGGAGGGGACGGTCAGACATCCTTTTTCTACTGATCCTACACATTTCTCACACAAAAACTATATTGGTTAATCGTCATTTTCGCCTACATTGATCTTCATCATCTCCAGCCAACATCTCCCCTCCATTCAATCGGAATAAAATCTAAAATATGGTCATATACAGAGCTATTTTAATAAAATTTTGATATAAATCACTAAGGCATTCTCACTAAGACATTTCAATAATATGCGACCCAAGGTGTTATTTATCCAGATTTATAAGGAGAAAAGCCATTTCTCAGCATCTTCTCTTCTGGTTACAACGCTTATTTCTATCCTCCCCTGCTCTTTGGCTGAGATACAATGCTTGCTCCCATTCTCAACTTCACATGTGAAGATATGGACACAAAAATACATTTTATTCTCCATCTGTCCCTCTGAGAAGCAATTATGGTGCTCAGCCTCACCTTTCCATCAGTGATCACTGATGAAGACTGAAAAAGTCTATGAAATCACAGACTCCCGCCCTTGTTTTTTGCCAGAATGGTTACAAAACCTGGAACAGCCTCTACTGAGACATCCAGTACATTCTGAGTGGCTGAGGCAGCAAGGCTGAGAGTACACAAGTGCCTTTGCATTCGAGAAGTATCACAGCAGGGTCCATCTGGAAGAGTTATTTCAAATGATGAAAAGAAACTGACAGAGCACAAATTAGCTCAGAAAATGTATTTAAAACAGGATCATCATCAGGGGTTCCTCACTATTTGTATACCAGCTCATGCTCATATAAAGAAGGTTTTATGCATGCAGAAACAAGGTTAGCACAGCAAAAAATGCCTCTGACCAATAAAAAAACAATCAACGAAAAAACCCAGAATGAGATGAAACAAAATCAATTTATAAGTACTACTTCTAGAAATACTGAGGTCAAAGCATTTACCCTGTCACTGGAAAGTAGCTGACAGCATAAAGTAATAAAGTGTGACAGTTTAAATATTTGTTGCCTATATCACCAGCTATAACCACAATTAGATGCAATTCATTCTCATTAGAATCTTGCTGGTGCTTTTTGGTTTGCTTTTAATGGAGGAAGCCCACTGGATGTGCTTTGCCCTTCATGCTTACCAGCTTTACACCAGTGACTGCCTTCGGCACTGTGGCTGATGAGCACACATGTTGGGAGACCTGCACACACTTACTTCGCACAGAAATAGGATTGCATGGGAATGTCTTTAATGCCCCTCTCTGAGTCTATATCAGTCTGTACCATGTGCAAATTATACCACCTCAGGCTGCTCTGAATTGCACATGTTGATTGTTTGTGAAGTGTGGCAGATGGGAAGGAGCAATGCACCGTGTCACCCATTGCACACTCATTTCTTCTTGGCACCTCAGTGTCCCAGTGACAAGGGCTCAGAGCCACTCCTCTCCCCCTCACTTGCTTACATAGCTCCAATGAGCTCTGCAGGTCTTTGACCCTGACAGCTGATTTAATTACTAAACATTACTTCTTTCCAAGGAGAGGTTTCATCCTACCATGCTCCTTCCACACTCCCTTCAAAATGACTGCTTCTGTCAGCAAGAGCAATGGCTTTTGAGGAAGATGGGCACCACGTTTCTAAAGGCCACATTCCTCTGCACAGCATGTTAGTGAAGATACTTGTCCTGGTTTCAGCTGGGATAGAGTTAATTTTCTTCCCAGTAGCTGATATAGTGCTGTGTTTTGGATTTAGGATGAGAATAACGTTGATAACACACTGATGTTTTAGTTGTTGCCGAGCAGTGGTCAAGGACTCTTCAGCTTTTCACACAGCCCTGCCAGCAAGTAGGCTAGGGGGCACAAGAAGCTGGGAGGAGACACAGCCAGGACAGTGGACCTGAACTAGCCAAAAGGATATTTCATACCATATGATACCATGCTCAGTATATAAAAAGGGGAAAACTAGCTGGGAGTTGCTGCTCAGGAACTAGCTGGTCAGCAGGTGGTGAGCAATTGCATTGTGCATCACTTGTTTTGCATATTCTAATTCTTTAATCATTATTATTATTGTTGCTGTTGTTGATTATTACTACTACTACTATTATTATTATTATTATTATTATTATTATTATTATTATTATTATTATTATTATTATTATTATTATTATTATTTTCCCTTATTTTTCCTGTTCCTATTAAACTGTCTTCATCTCAACCCATGAATTTTACCTTTTTTTCTGATTCTCTCTCCCATCCCACTGCAGGGAGGGGAGTGAGCAAGCAGCTGTGTGGTGTTTAGCTGCCTGATGGGTTAAAACACAATATTACTGTGATGTCATCACTAAGCTCACACAACTAAAGCAACCCTGGTACCACAAAATGCTCATCCTTCACCAAAGGCATCATCCTTGTCTCACAAGGTGCTTTCACACTTGCCCAGACACACAAATTTCACGGGTTCTGGCTGAAAGACCGTACATTTGGCTAAATTTCTGAGGTTGTAGGAGGGCTGCAGTACAGTGTGCAGGACTGCACCAGCTGAGGCTCCTGCCTAATAGAGCCCTGGCAGGAGACCCTTCCCTGCCAGCAGAGCAAGTGCTCTGCAAGCAGGGAGGAGCAGGGAGGCATTTCAGCTGACTTGAGCAAGGGATAGGACTTATGGAACTCTGATAGCTAAGGCTTTTAAACCAAAACAATGAACAGTGTGCTGCTTGTTTAGCTTCCAGTTCTCTATCCTTTCTGCTAAAACACTACTTACCTCTTAGAAGAGGGGAAAAAAAAGGTAAGGCAAGAGTGTTGCATAAGCCCTTAAGCCCTTTGCAAATAAAAGCTTTATATTTGTGTAGATATAAATAAAAGTATGCAGGTTTATGTGGCTGAAACGGAAGGAGATACCAGAGGGTTGTACCGCGGCTACATATAAATAGTTTATTTATGCAGTGGCAGGATGTGAACAATTGCATAGGAAGCATACAGTTATCCACACATACTTAGGATTACATGGGCATGGGAAACCACTCCCTACTACTACCCTCTTTATTACTAAAAATTAGTCTACTGCTTACAAGTCTCACAAGGTCTGAGCCTACTTTGTTTGCAAACTCCCTAGGGCCAGTGGCAAAGCACAAAAATAAAACCTGAACCAGAAAGATAACACCAGACAGGCCATAAACAGCTTGCTTTCCAAGTGAGGAGCCAGGACTGGTTTCTCTTCTCTTAAGGAAATGCTTAATGCTTGGGCTGAGGATTAATATGGTTTGGGCTATATGGAGACTTCCCCCCCACCCTTTTCAACATGATGCTTTTTTAAAAAAAGCACAAATTATTGGTTTAAATAAAAGGGGATGCCTGTTAAACCACTTCACCTACTGAAACACTGATGGAGTCAGTTTTCAACTAATAGCATACAACCTAGTGATTTTATTACCAAAAAAAGAAAAAATCTCACTGTTAACCCACTACATACAAATCACAGCAAATCAAATACAGCTGTGGGGGTGGGATCCCACAGGCACTTTTCCTTTTTGACAGAGAGCAAAAGCAAAGTAGGGGCCTGCTCACCCAGAAAAGCAGCACATTTAAACCTGCAGGATGGCACTCGGCAGTGCTACATGGGCCCGCTTGCCTGTCTGGGGACAGTTCGCACCAACAAGCAACAGCACTAGTGAGATGCTGGAAACAGGGAATATAAAGCCAAACACACTATTGCCTCTTTAAGAGTTGCCCTATTTCTTCCATACTGAATACACCCTAAAACATCTGTGAGACAGACATGCAGCCAGATGGAGAAGTGAAAATCAGGTTGCCCCAAAGCAGTCTTTCCTCACAAAAGCAAGACGACAGGCACAAATCATGAAACTACTGTTTCCAATGTGGAAAAGAAGCAGAGAGAGACACTAGTACAGTAGGGGGAACAGAGATTTGTAACAGGGTCAGCCAAAAGCAAACTCTGCTTAGAAGATTTGTTATGGAAGTTTCGCAGCCCAGTGAACCTGGACTGCAGTTCTCCGCCCAAATGCCTCTTTCTAACTGAGATGGCATAGCTCCCTCAGGGAGATTCTATCCATGTACCATCAAAGACCTTTTTTTGTCTTGCAAAGAAAGGATTTACTTTTTTATACATTAAGTTCAGCTGCCTTGTGTCTCTGGAGTACCATGGCTGGGATCGATACTGCTTCCCTGTCATGCAAACATCTTCAGTCCTTGTTGAAACATACCACTTACCTTTCAACACTTTCTTCATAGCTCTGAAACAATTGAGGTGCTGACAATTTGCTCTCTCTAGCAATCTATAGCATTAGGTGAAGCCCTTTTTAGAGTTCATAGCAGTAAACTTCACAAATCTGCTGTCTGTTCTTATTTCTAGACTATAAGCATGTAATTTACTGATTTTTTTGGCCTCTCACCTATTGCCAACTGCAAATCTCCAGATGGAATGTCTGCTTCAGATGTAAGGCATTGACTTTTGCAGTCCTTGCAGGCACAGGTGGTTGAAAGGCTGATACCATTCAGGTCAAAACTCAACAGATTAGTTATTCCCATTCCCCCTCACTCCCCCATTACTCCAGATAACTTGGTATTTTGGGGTATTTTGTTTCCCACTGAGGACAAGGCAATTAAATATTTTTGCTCAACCTGTCCACAGGCAACAACTGCAGTCCTGCCTGCCTCCTGTCTGAGCACATTCAAGACATTCCAGGGAGCTGCTAACCTTCTAAAATTTAGTTTGGATGTGTCTCCTTAATTCAGCTTTCGTGCTTAAGACTTGACTAACAGATTGTGCTTTGCACTGGAAATCTGTTGCACTGGTGAGTTCTCCTCTTCTATATTTTCAGGGATGCAGGACGAAGCTATCCCTCCAAATAGGCTCTGTGGTATACATATGTGATGTCTATTGACAGTGGTTACAGTAATTGATACCAGTGAAGTAACTTGCTCTAGCAGTGACAGTTTTCATCTATTATTGCTTAGCACAATCCTCCTTCTTTTTTCCGTGTTTCACAGTGCAACACCCCTGGATGTTTTTCTCAACTCTGCTAAGGACAAAGTTCCTTGTTTTCATACTTGAATTTTGACTTTTGAAACATTTTTCAATAATAGCTTTTACACTTAGGCCAGTGTTTAGGTATTTATGACATCATCCATTCTTCAAAATTACCAGTGAATGAAGTAGGAGGTTGTTTACAGCTGACTTCTCTATATCCACCCTTTTGTTCACTGAGTGAGAAGTGCGTTGTGCTGCATCATGAGTTCAGGTTTCATGAGCTCCTCAAGTCCGCTCCCAACATTAAAAGCCGGGCCAAAGGCAAATAGTCCTTTTTTTCACTCATTATTGTCCCACAAAACAAGACAAGATCACTGTAGAACATCCGAGAGGTTTCTGACCAAGTGTCAGTTCATCTAGCTCTAGCATCATCTAGTTCTGCCATGCACACAAATATAGTTTCATTTTCATCCTCCTCTTGCACGTAATTTCAAAAACAATTACACAAACCTGTGGTGCAGTTCGGTGGCCTTTTAAGCACTTTTTCAGGGATTATAACATGTATTTCCTTCTTTCTGAGATTGTGACCACTCTAAGAAAAAGTTAAATTTAACTGGCACAAACATAAGGTAAAACTAACTTCTACTCATCTTTATCCATAAATTCATTCTGCATGAAGACAGTAACCAAATCCTGTGTACTGCAGTGCAGCCCGTCTTTACTGTTTGTGTTAAACACACTCATTCTCTCCTAAATCATAATTTTCTCTTATGATGATTTGCTGTAATAGTTTGAGCCCAGAGGGCAACTGAGCACCACACAGGCATTCACTCACTCCTTCCTCCTCAGGAATGGGAAGGAGAAAATAAAGCAAAAGGCTCCAGAATCAAGATAAGGACAGGGTGGGATGACTCACCCATTACTTTCATGGGCAAAAGACAGACTCATAGGGGAAGAAAAAGGACATCAATTTAATTCAGACACTAACAACACTACTTAACAGACAGAGTAGGACAGTGAGAAGCATCACCACATCTTAAAAACACCTTTTCCCCCCCCTTCCTCCTGGGCTCAGCTTTGCTCCCTATTTCTCTACCTCCTCTCCCACAGTGGCCCAGGGAAGCAGTGGATGGAGGATGGGGGAGGTGCAGTTAGTCCTGCTGCTTCTTCCTCCTCCAGGAGGACTCCTCGAATTCTTTCCCTGCTCCAGCGTGGGGTCCCTATCCTGGGAGACAGTCCTCCAGAAACTTTCTACAATGTGAGTCCTTCCCACAGGTCACATCCATTCGTGAGCTGCACTGATGTGGGTCCATCCCACTTGTTGCAGTCCTCCCAGCACCAAACTACAACAGCAGGGGCTGCCCTTAGATTCCTGGCCTTTTTTGAGCACAGTCACCTGCTCCAGCATGGGGTCCTCCATGAACTGCAAGTCGTCATCTACTCCACTAGTGACTTCCATGGGTGGCCGGGGGGACAGCCTGCCTTCCCACCAGAAGCTGAGGAGAGTCTCTGCTCCAGCACACTTCCCTCTCCTCCTTTTTTCCACTGACCTCAGTGTTTGCAGAGGTGTCTCCCTCACAGCTCCTCCTCACAACTCCAATGCCTCCTCCCAGCTTCCCCTTCTTAAATACGTTCTCACAGAGGCTCAGCCACTGTCACTAATTGGCTCGTCCCTGGCCAGAGCTGGGTCCAACTTTGAGCCAGGGGAGCTTTGAGAACCTTCTCAAAAAGTTCTACTGTTGTAGCCCCCTCTTCTGCTACCAAAAACCCCCACCACACACACAGACCCAGCACATTTGCTAATGACACTGCCCATTTTAATAAAAATTAAAGTACAGCCTGGGGAGATGTTGCTTTACTTTAACTTCATTAGAGAGCAAAGGGAGGACTTCTGCCTCCACAGGGGACAGAAAGAGCAGAAGTGCAGCCCTATCCATGCAGAGGACAAGCTCACCTTGTGATCAGCACTTCGCTCAGGAGAAGAGCAGGCTGACAGAGGCAGTATTAAATAAACCCTTGCTCTAAGGAAGGTCAGGCAGCACACAAAGTCTCTGTTTCAGGGCAACCCCAAATTAGGAGGCATTGAAGTTCTCAATTAAAGAGCAAAGCTTAAGTGGGAAAAAGAAAATAAAAATACAAAGAAACAACAAGGATCAGTGTGTATTTTCCCTAGATTTTATGTTTTTCATTTGTGCAAATGATACAGAAAAAGCCAATGCCCGGGAATTAAGTTTATTTTAAGAGCTCTCCAAATGTGAAATCAGTGATTGATTTGAAAGAGAATTATGAAAAAAATCAAGCTGTATTCTGTAGCTCACTGAGGCCCTGCTCTTTGAATAGATTTCCAAGAAGGCTGCATCCACTCTCATTTTTCCTTCAGTGTCCAGCTTGCAGGCACTTACTCTTGGAAGCAGGGAGATAGAGAGTGTGACCATCAGCGTCAGCTCCCTCAAAAGACATAATCAGGTGGGGTTTTGTAAGAGGCCAAGCACCTAACAATGCCCTTTGGTGTATAGCTGGTATTGTAGATAGTTTTAGCATCTAGCAGGGTGTGACGCTTTGGGCCTGACCAGCCAGGTTTATAGCTCTTCATAATTGTGAGTGGATGAGGCACATAGTGGGTCTGAAAGGTAGTTAAGTAATCCTTTGTTTTTTCTGGGAAAGTCCGCTCCGGAGCATGAGTGATAGGTTTTAGTCTCTTGCACAACCAAGGCTTATAGTCTTCCTTCATTATAGAGCAACTATTGAATGGCTCAGTACTTTTTTTAAGCTGGACCAAAGATTGACATATTTTGTCTGGCTTGTCATTTGGGTACTTGTAATGTATCTGAGTGGTGGTGTGAAGTTCCATTTTATCCAGAGGAGGAAGATATACATCAGGTTTTTTGGTCAATACAGGAGGTTGTGGCCAAGCTTGGTATTTTTCTTGAAACTCAGTTGTAGAAGAAAATGGAAGATCGCGGAGAAGCTTTGGCTGGTGTGGTTTTGCAAGCTTGGCTGGCTGATTGGCCAGAGCCTTGTAAGAAACCTTGTGGGTAGTGAGACCATCAAATGGGACCTCACTGACCTTGTATTTCACATTTTTATGGACATAGTGCTTCTTCAGAGGATGTGGCACATATTTCACTCTATAATTTGTTATATTCTCGAAAGGAGCCTTTGTTTTCTGGACCAGATTTGGAGGTTTGAAGTTTTGAGTGGCAACCGGCCTCCTGTAGAGATAGTCATCCTGAACAATGGTTCTGTGGTTGAATTTTACATCTGATGGGCAAAACCCATCATTTGGTCTGGTTGGCTTTGTCTTTGACTCATGCCATAGCACATAGTCATCTGAAACATAAAAGAAATCCTATCTAAGTGTTCAGCTGAAGTTCTTTGGTGAGTTTAGGCATGTACCATATTATGTTTTGATTATTTCATTTTCTACTGTAATAAATATATATTGATGTTGTAATGATTGACAAATCTTATTAAAAGAGCTGCTGTAGAACACATTATACGCTAGTGTGTTAACCCCTGGAAATGCTTAGCATCTACACAGAGAATAGAATGAAAATAGTCCCGTACCTACCCAAGCCTACAGAGATGGTGAAATACAATACGGAAAGATTAAATTACATCCTCGGTCTTGCAGAGACACTTTCTGCAGGTCAATAAGTGAGTACTGTCCTCATGCTCAGTCAACCAGAAACCATGAAAGTGAAGTATTATGGCATTGACTTCAACCCCTTCAGTTACTTTCCTGCAGCTATGGTGTGGCTGGCTCAGAGCACAGGCAAAGTATGCCTGTGCCTGCAGAAGGGTGTTCAGGTGTCTCCCATAGTATCTCTGGGGCAAGGAGAGACAGATGTTCACCATTCCACTCTAAAGGCCAAGATGCAGAGATACCCCTCCTCTTTGCACCTCCTCACTTGGGGATGACCTGATTTCTGAACTGCACAGATGTGATGCTGCCTACTGTTTGCTGAGTTCAGGGTTTTTCAGCTCATCTTGATGTCAGCAAGCTGTGTTGTGTAGCATCTCCTCAACTCTTGGCTTTGTTCTCTGTGGTACTCCTGCTGTCAGTACAAGCAGAAACCAAGAAGGAGCTTGTAATTCTGTCTCCAATTCTTCCTTATTAGAAAAACTACCAGAATTTTCAGATCAAGACTATACTGATCTGAATCATTGAATCATATTGCAGAGATGCTCCATACTCCAGAAAACTTACTATCCAAATTCATGATAGAAAATACTTTAGGCAACATTTTAGAGACATTTATCTCTTTCTTCCTTGGCAGGATACCAGGGAAAAAAATGAGGCAAGGAACCATAAAAAGATTTACACTCAGTTACACTAGAAAGCTGCCTAACTCTCCAACCAGTGCTGCAGCCACAAGACCATTGATTTTTCCCTTCCTAGTATTCTTGTGTAACTTCCTCTAAAGAGCATCATGGATACTGGAAAGTAAGTTTACATTAAATAGTCTTGGAGCTAGCCCAAGTTTTGTTTTTGTTTGTTTGTTTGTTTGTTTGTTTGTTTGGTTGGTTGGTTGGTTGGTTGGTTGTTGTTGTTGTTGTTGGGTTTTTGTTTTGTTTTTTTTTTTTAATTTTCCCTCCTTTCAAACCACATTGAGAGTCATGAGGCAAATAAGCTTCCAGCTGACTCTGTACAGGAATTAAGTCTAGATTTCAAAGTACTAGACAGTAAATGACACAGTTAGGTATCAGGATAGTTGAACTCTCCAATCCAAACAGTTATTCCTCTTGAATGGCAGTGAGTATTGTACTGCCCAAACACAATTACACAAAGGATATGTTGATTACAATGTGAAGTTAACCAAAAGAAAAGCAGTTTTTTGCCCCAGTTAGGTGTCCACTTAAAGTCCTTCTGGTTCAAATCAAGCTGCTCTGCCCTGACACAAGAGAGGAAGCAGCAGATGCCAGCACTGTGCTGCTCCCAGAGAGCATACCCCATCCTGTGGGTACGGAGCTGCCCTCATGCCACTAAATAGTGTAGTCAGCTGAGGAAATGGGCCTGTCTGTGTGTGCCAGCATAGACATTGATTTGCCACTGTTGGTGTCGCTGAAGCCCAGGCTGTGTGCCCTGCTAGTGCGAGTGATGTTTAAATGCCCCAGGTGCTCCCTTTTCTCTGGGTCAACAAGAGGTGTGCAGGCACCACTGCACTCGTGGGTTGCTGACCTTGTGCTCATGCCTAGGGTACATGATTTTCCTGGAAACATGGTCCAGCAGGGTGAACGATAAGCATATATGGACATGTGTCATTACAGGGAATGTGACAAGTGTTAAAAAGTGAGGACCTAATGAGATTCAGCCCATTTATAAGCAAGGGATTGTTCAGAGATCTGACATTTCAGATGCCAACCAAGATTTACTGAAAAGCTTTTTAGGTTCTCCCATTATCCTTGCTGAAAACTAGCCTGTGCATTTCAGACGTAACCACCCACGGCTTTTGCAAAATATTCAAAATATGACAAGCAAGTCCACCCATCTTCAATTTTTAAAATTTATAAGCTCTACACATTTGGAGGCCTTTATGAATTTATTTTACTTAGTTTAAGCCAGCAGTGCTACCTTCAAAATATGTTACAATTTTATTGTAACTCTAATTCTTTTCCCATAGATATTAATAGTTTTCCGTGTAGCACAATCTTGAAAACATTAGGGGATACAGAAGGGAATAGAGGATATAAACCATATGTTATTGGAAGGTTAGGCACATCTCACTACAACCAAGAAAGACAAAACTAAAGTTAGATTACGTACCTGCAGATGGATAGAAACAGCTGCATATGTAGCTTGGAGGAGATGAGAATTTTGAAACCCGAAGTGACAAAGTCATCTGACATTAATTGTGATATGCAATAGCATCATCTTAAACATATAGTTTCATCTGGGATATGGTGTTTAGTGGGAAGACGTATGTCAATACAGTAGGAGAGGAAATTTAATACCAATGCAGCACTGTTTTATATGCTGCTTAAATATTTTAATTATGACAGTTATCTGAATAGCATGTTTCAGAATTTCACACTAGAGTAATGATCAGTAAAACTTAGCAAAGCTTAGAGAACAGAACAATGAAAACTTGTGTTTTTGTGAACCTGGGTCTTTAAAAGGGAATTCATTTGGTATGCAACTTGACCTTTGAAGTGGTTTGCATGAAGATTTCCATTTGCAGTGTTTTGAAAAATACTGAAAATTATAACCAAATGTGGTTCTGATACATTTTATTAGGGCTCTGGGGGAACGGTTAAGGTGCTGACCTAAACACTGATAAAAGACAAACATATACATCTGGTTCAGATACAGAAAAGTTAAGGATATATAAACACAGAAGGAAAGATCCTCCACTTGCTCAAAGCAGCCTTTTTCTTGTTGACTACACTGAAGTGATGAATACCATCTGGTGACATTGCCTATGCAAAACAAAGTGCTCAAAATTGTGTAAATGTGGGTATTTTGTACCTGTGAGTCATAGTCTTCTCAACTTAAGTCATTCTAAATGGACAGTACTTCCTGTGTACTTAATGTAAAAATTCCAGTTTATGTTCATGCAAACATGCAACTGCACTAAAATCTGACTTTCAGTCATTTCAGATGGGTAATGTAACACTGCATTTTCATACCTTTTATTTCCTTACTCCCTATATCATTCTGAGTTTTAAGAAAATTATTTCTGTACACTGGGACAAATCTCAATGCCAGCATCAATCATAAAGTTCTATATTTGCACAGCATAATAAAAATAAAATAATTTTAAAATTTTTTAAGAAATAAACAAATGCTACCTGTCTGGATAGCAATGTTAGCTAGCTGGAAGGTGTGCAGAGGAGAGGAAAAATCCTCTGATTTTCTACTTATGACTTACTACCAAAATTAGGACAGTTACTGTGACTCCGTAACTGAAAGTTTTCTTCCAGTGCAGGCAGAAGAGAATTTGTGCTGGTAGAGAGGAAGGAGCATAGACCCCACAAAGACAAACCACGTATACCAAGTTACTGCTAGTGAGAAACGAGAGTACAGTTAGATGCACAGTTCACCTGTTTTACTAGGAAGCTTGAGAGTTTTGGACATTTCTGTGGAGCTTCTGTGTGTCCACAATTCCCACATAGAACTCTTGCACATCCACAGATTAACTCTGCGGCACACACAAAAAGGAACTCAAGCTTCATGTCCCTCTCAGACCTAACAAGTTCTACATATTTTAGACGTGTCTGATCCACTGAATGTGTTGATCAGCCCTGCTGTATACCAAGAGTGTATTCAGTGTATCCTAAAGATGATGCTGCTGGGGTTTGCATGACCCTGCTTCTACCTAGCATGCCTTTAGGGTCTGTCAAACATGCAAAGGAGGTGAATTCAGAAAGATCCCAATGCTACCTTTAATATGGAGCTGTGTTCCCAACAGTTTGTGTCTGTGTGGTTCCTGCACAGCTTGTCAGCATACACAGAAAGAAGGAATAACAACTACACACTGTTTTGATCTGTTTTCTTCAAAAATGAAGCTACTGGTGAAGTTCTGAAAGAAGTATCAAGAGCACATACCTTTGTAAGTGGTTCTTGTATCAGCCTTGGCACTGGGGACGTGTCTTGTCACATGGGGGAGCCATGGAGGTACTTGACAGATAGGGTAGGGGTTATAATCTTGTTTATAAGTAGAGGTTAAATCCATACTCTCATCACTCTTGACAAACTTTTCAGGTGGTTTAAGTTTCTGTGGCAACACTTCGTGAGCTATGTAATCTCTCCTGTGAAGAATAATTTCATTATGCCTTTTGACTTAAGGAAAAAAATATGTTCCTTTTTCTGGACACAGAAAGAAATTAGTATTTCCTCTTATCTCCACAGCCTAAAAAGTCTGGGTAGGATACAGGCAGTTAATTAAACACACAAGCCCTTCACGTTTGGAAACTGGGACTCTGAAAAAGGAACTGAGGCAGCTCTGGACAACCTCAGGCAGGCCATGTTCCCCCTTCTCTCCACACAGTGAGGTTAATGGCCTTACACAAAGCTATCTCTGTTCTGCAGTGGTGTTATACCAGAAGACGTAACTCCTTTTAAATGCCCAGTAATTATAGCAGTCTATCTAGTACATATGGAAAACATGAGAGAGGCAACAATAGCAGTTCATCTCAGGCTGGGGAGATAACAACAAAACAGCTTTATAGCAAAACACCACATGAGGAAAAAAACACCAGCATGGTCAGACAGTCAGCTTTTTCTCAGGTACCACTGTAGAAGAGCTATTTTAAGACACTGGAGTGGTGTTACTTAACCCCAACAAATCATTACAGAAACAAGATGGAGAAGAAAATAACATCACCATCCAGCATTCACTAACCTGAACCTACTTCACTCTCCACATCCTTCACTGCCCATATCCTTTAGTCAGAGAGTCTGCTCCCTAGCACAAGCAAATTCAGTCTCTAATGTCAGAGTACTTTTCCACTGATATGCAGATTTGTTTACAGTATTGGCAGACAGTGAGGAGGAATGGTCAGTACAGGAGCTATTCTAATATTAATACTGTGCTTTGCATCTGGAATGATACTGGGTGGGCAAGAGCCTGAGCCTCTGAATATACTGTATTAGTTATGTATTTTAGCAAATAAACAAGGTTCTCAAAAGTCTGTGTGGAGCAGATGGGAAGATAATTCACACGGAAAGGTATTAGGTATAGTGGTAAAAACAGAAATGCAGAAGTAAAAAAAAATAATCCAAGAGCATCAAGAGGTACTTATATACATGTCACATGTAGACCCTTGGCATATATTTGTCAGCCATTTAAAGCCAAAGTGTTTTTTATGAGGGGCCAAGAAAAGACAAACAGGAATATGACAACCATGCAGCATCCTCAGTAGCAGGGAGGTCTCGATAACGGAAAGAGTCTTTCCCAAGCCAGTCACAGTACACTACACAATTCCAGCTGAGCCTGTACCAGAGACAAGTAACGCATCACAGGTAGGAAATTCTGTACCAGTATGATCAATGATTTTTCTGGCAGTGGGAGTACCTTTTCCCACTCAGACTATTGCTATACAACAGAACCTGAGGTGGACATTACAGAGGAGAGATTGTTTTTCTGACAAATCAGTGGCAACCTGCATCCAAGACACCATGAAAAATTGTACTGCCTGCAACTCCTATACTTTATCAAGGGGGCTTTCTATTGCAGTATGTCACCTAACATTCATCAAAGTGTTATCAGAGAAGACTGGTGACAACTTAGTGTTTGCTGGCCTCACAGTCCCTGCAGTCACTCTCATACACTGTCAATTTATTCTCTCTGAATTTAGTCACAGAGAACCAGAGCTTTTAGCAGCACTCTAGTAGGTGGTGGCACTTTTCCATGAGGCCTTGATACTTTCATGCTGGGTGTATATTCTTACTAGTGTTGTCCAGAGGACAGCAAGGCATGCAATTCGATGGCTAACTTTTCTGTCTCTGAGTTTTGTCCTCTTACAAGGTGTGCTGGTTTTGGTTGGGACAGAGTTAATTTTCTTCATAGTAACTAGTATGAGGCTAGGTGTTGGATTTGTGCTGGAAACAGTGTTGAAAACACAAGGATGTTTTAACTATTCCTGAGCAATGCTTATACAGAGTCAAGACCTTTTCTGCTTCTCACACCTCCCTGGTGAGCAGGCTGGAGGTGCACAAGACGTTGGGAGGGGACACAGCTGGGACAATTGACCCCAACGGACCAAAGGGATATCCCATACCATATGATGTCATACTCAGCAATATAAAGCTGGGGGAAGAAGAAGGAAGCAGGGGGATATTCGGAGTTATGCCATTTTGTCTTCCCAAACAGCTGTTATGCGTGATGGGGCCCCTGCTTCCCTGGACATGGCAGAACACCTGCCTGCCCATGGGAAGAAGTGAATTGATTCCTTGTTTTGCTTTGCTTGTGTGCACAACTTTTGTTTTACCTATTAAATGGTCTTTATCTCAACCCACAAGTTTTCTTGCTTTCACTCTTCCAATTCTCTCCCCATCCCTTTGTGGAGGAGTGATTGAGCAGCTGTGTGGGGCTCAGTTGCCATCTGAGGCTAAACCATGACACAAGGGTGGGCAAGTTTTACATACTTGGTAGAGCACATGTTCTGAAGAAGCAAATATAGTTTTCTGTGCTTTCCTACTAGTCTGCTTTCCAGAAGTTGTACTAAACTCCAGGAGTAACAGTTACTGTAGGAATCACTAGCCTTGTCTGAACAAGAATAGTATTGCTAATTGAAGAGGAAGTTTATAAATACTCCTTGACACACACCACATGGTGGCTGCCACTCCTTGCCTGCCTTAAGAGGACACCAGTGAGCCCAGGATTCAGTTAGAGGCAGACACAAAGATGTCTAGCAGCTTTGGTTCATGCCAGAGGTGGAAGGCAGATATAGAAGTGAAGTCTGCTCTTTGAAACCCACTGATCCTTTTGGTTGTCGCTGAAAGCTCCCACATAGACAGAGGCATCCAAAATGTGAGTTAAGCTGGGAATTTCAGACTTCATCAGCCACATCTGTAATTTAAATTGATGCCTTTTAAAAAGGCATGGGTAGGAAAAGAGTTGGTAGAGCTTCCATGTCAGGATGAGGACAAATGGGTGGTGTTAGTTATTAAGATTGTTAATCATAGAATGGTTTGGGTTGGAAGTGGCCTTAAAGATCATCTAGTTCCAACTCCCCTGCATGGGCAGGGACACCTTCCACTAGACCAGGTTGCTCAAAGCCCCGTCCAACCTGGCCTTGAACACTCCAAGTGAGGGGGCAGTCACAACTTCTCTGGGCAACCTGTTCCAGTGTCTCACCACCCCCACAGTAAATAATTTCTTCCTTATATCTAATCTAAATCTACTCTCTTTCAGTTTAAGACCACTACCTCTCATTCTAGCACTACCCTCACTGACAGAGTCCCTCTCCATCTTTCCTATAGGCCCCCTTTAAGTACTGGGAGGCTGCTATAAGGTCTCCCGGGAGCCTTCTCTTCTCTCAGCTGAACAACCCCACCTCTCTCAGCTTGTCCTCACAAGGAAGGTGCTTCAGCCCCCTGATCATCTTCATGGCCTCCTCTGGACCACTTGAGCAGGTCCGTGTTCTTATGTTGGCGGCCCCAGAGTTGGACACAACACTCCAGGTGGGGTCTCATCAGAGTGGAGTAGAGGGGGAGAGTCACCTCCCTTGAGCTGTTGGCCACACTTCTCTTGATGCAGCCCGGGATACAGTTGGTTTTCTGGGCTGTGAGCACACACTGCTGGTTCACAATCAGTTTTCCCTCTGCTAATATCCCCAAGTACTTCTCCATGGGGCTGGTCTCAATCCACTCTTCGCCCAGCCTGTATTTGTGCTTGGGATTGCCCCAACACAATGTGCAGGACATTGCACTTTGGACTTGTTATATTTCATGAGGTTTGCACGGACCCACCTCTCAAGCCTGTCAGGGTCCCTCTGCATGGCATCCCTTCCCTCCAGCATGTCAACTGCACCACACAGATTGGTGTCATCGGCAAACTTGCTGAGGGTGCACTCAATACCAGTGTCCATGTCACCAACAATGATGTTAAACAGCACTGGTCCCAACACAAACCCCTGAGGAGCAATACTCATCACTGCTCTCCACTTGGACATTGATCCATTGACCACAACCCTTTGAATGCAACCATCCAACCATTTCCTTATCCACCAAGTTGTCCATTCATCAACTCCAAGTCTCTCCAATTTAGAGACAAGGATGTCATGTAGGACAGTGTCAGAAACTTGGCACAAGTCCAGCTAGATGACATCAGTTGCTCTTCACTTATCCAACAGTGTTGTAACCTCATTAATAGCCATTGGAACCTCCTAGATCTCTAATTCGGTTCAGCAACAGTAAGAGTGATGTTGCTCATGACTCTGCCTGTGATGATAAAGGAATTAAACATCACGATCAGGCAGCAGCCACTGTTTGAGGAAAGGGAAGCTCTCAGATTGATATTAAATGTTCAGACCCCTATTTTCTATGAGTTTCTTCTGTGGACAAGCACTTGGCACATCACTCTACCAGCCGCAGGAGAGAGTCTTAGAAGTTACTTCCATCAGGGAAATGGGCACAGTGCAAGTGTGAGGACCTCTGCTGAACTAAGCAATAGCATAGCTGAGAAGCAGAAACAGCCCAGCATTCCACAGTGGCTGCCTTGAGGAAAACACCCACACCCCCTTTCCAATCATCAAGCTCTACCATATTCACACCTCCTTGGAAACCAGTCACTCACATTACAGTGTACAAAGTGCCACACAAAACACAGAAGAAAAGAAGAATACTCCTCCAATATCATCCATACTTTCCCAGACATTTCTGTGGGTTTCCCAGAAACGTTCCCAAAACAGAAACTGAGCAAAAGCCAAGACCATGACTGTGCTTCTGTGGCCCGTGTATTCTCCGATCAGATCATATCTCAACCTCCAGGAAGTACAAGAAAAATAGCTACTTGACACCACTACAACAACTAGCCTTAGAAGGACCTCATCTCTCCTTCATAGAGCCCTCATGAGTGTTTGTACAACCACAATGTTGTTCTTTTCATGCTCCCCTTGTGAAAACCAATAATTTTCCTTTCCTCCCCTACCCAACTCTCACATACACATTATCTAAGTTACAGTCCTCATTCTCTTTTGATATTTTTCATACTTTGTAGTTGAGATGCCTTCCATGGTTTTCTGAACTATCTGGTACCTTTCCTTTGGCACAAATGAGCCTCTGGGAACAGTGATGGGATAAAGCAGGTATTGCTCTGTATACTCTGACAGCATGCATGGCTTCTCATTCTTCTCATAGGGCCTGGTGAGGAGGTGTGGACAACGGTGACATCTAAAAGGGAAAAAAACAGCACAGGATTTAGTAACTAGCAGGTAGCTGATTAATATACTTTATTGCATAAGTTGGCTGCAGACTGCAACTACAAAGTAGCAGATAAGCAAGCATTGCAATGACTGCTACAGCCTTGATTATTTAAAGTGCAAAAACATAACCTGCACAAATAAAGGGCTTTTTCTATCTACTACCATAGCCTGCAGTCAAAAAATTCTGTGAAGCCAACAAAAACAGCCTAAGAAAAGCAAGTTCACCTAGATGAAGAAAGAAGCAATTTAGCCTGAGGTACAACCAAGTGTGCCATATTGTGCTGTACTAGAAGCTCTATTTAATATTCCTTTTGCCTCATTTATCATAAATTTCTTACCCTACCTTGCCCGCATATTGATCTTGCTTGTGAAGACAAGTGAGCAAAAGGATAACAGTTCCGGAGTCTCTATTCACTCACACTTGGGTAGCACTGATCTACCTATCTCTCTTTCTGAAAGCAATTCAGTCTGGGTACTCCAAGACATGCAGTGCATAATGTGCACCATAATGTGCACCAAAATGAGGACAGTGAGAACAAACTGATTCTCAAGAGAAAGCTGCCTCCTGACTGAAACTAAACCACCACCATGGATTGCCCATCACTAGTGACCTCTTTCTTTCCACATTGGGAACAGATCAGAGTGAGGCAGGCAAGGCTTACCCTGTAAAAAAGAGGTTTGGGATTCCACCTTCAGATTTCTTCCCAGAAACATAACAGTTTATGTCACTTTCTGGTTTGAGTCAAACTCTCTAGAGTCAATATGAAGGTTGCTGATTAAGGACTTCAGGAACCAGTCAACAGCAGCTTCAGTGAGAGGAGGCCTCTGGTTTTATGTCTCATACATAATTCCTACCAAAGTCAGAGAGTTCTCTACTGGATATATGTTTTCCAGTGATATGTCTAGTCCAGGTATGACTTATTCAAAAGGGCTTCTATAATTAACAAAATCCATGTTAAATTACATGTTGAGCAATCTAGGATCGGTAGATGTCTGATTACCTGAATTTATACAGATAACCTCTGGTCTACATTCAAGGATACACCTTCACACACTGACTCATTTTTCAAACTAGCACAAGAGGGGAAGAAGGGCCCAGAAGGATCAAATAAATTCAGCACATTTTTGACAAACCAGTTCCTCACTCGGATTACAAATCCTTCTATGAAATCATAAATCAGGAGGAGTCCTAGTAGATTTATTTTTGCCTAGAAAAGTTTTGAGTTTGGACCCAAAGGGAGTCTACTCACAGGAAGTAAGGGAGGCTATCCCTGTCAGTTATAATATTAGAAGAAAAGACTTCAGGGTTGAAGTCTCAAAAAAAAAAAAAAGAGGTGCCCCACTCTCTTAGGAACCTTATAAAATTCCAGCTTTCACATAACTGGAGAAGAGGCAAACAAGAAAATGAAAAAAAGATTAATATGTTCACTCTTGCTAGTCCATGTGACCTTGATGGAATGGATTTTGTGACAAAAACCTTCTAAACACAAGCTGCACTGACACTTTCTGGCCACACTTGTGGTCTTCCAGCCTTCCTAGGAATTATTACTCATTCTCCAAGGAAAAGTGATCTGCCTATTTCTGCTTCAAATCTGTTGGCTTCACATCACCCCTAAGTGTACTTTCATTCCCCTATTCTCTTAAAATCTGTGATGCAGCACACTAGTCTTCAGTTTGGCTTTGGAGTGTGTTGATGAGGCCCTTATGTTAGCTTTTTATGGTAAAACTGTACTCAGACTGGATACAGGGAAATAGCTATATTACCTAGTTCATCATGGCCCTGCATATGGTACAGACACTGGCCACCAGCAACATTCTGCAAATAAGGAATGGCTGATCAGGAGCAAATTAATGACACCTCACAAATACCATCAGTTAGTATCTCATTACAGCTCAGCTGTACACACAGGGTTTAGAGAGGCTTTCTTGTGACACGAGGTTTCCCAAGTGGTCCAGAGCAGAGACTGTGTGCAGCTCCCCACCCATACCAAGCCAGCTGCAGACACTTTACTCTGCATCTTGATGGACATTTGCAAGTCAGAGTCCTGTACCTGCCCAGTAGCACTTTTGGCACTGGGGAAAGTGAGAGGTCCTGTGGACAAGGGTAGGTAATGCAGGTACCCCTCTGAAGACCCAACGGGAGCAGGCAGGGAACAACAGCTTGCAGAACCTACATTTTTCCCCTTGCAGTCATTGCTGGCAGCGTGAATGCTGGGGGTCTTCTCAACAGTCCAGGATAGGAAAAAGGCCAGGATCTCCTGTAGATAGCAGCAGCCCCAAGCTGCCAAGATCTTTGACCTAGGTTGAAGTTAAGCCTTCACTGTGATCTGACAACACAGGTAGCTTTACACTTCAAATATTCACCCACTCTTCATGAGTATAATTCTACTTTCTTTGTTGAACTTCAGAGATCACACCAACAGAATGAGATATTTCAGAGTTAGGTCTTGAGAAAAGAACTTTCCCACAAACAAATCTTTCTTGACAGGGCAGAGAAGTAAACCTGAATGTTTTGTTTTCTATTATTTGGCACTAAACTGTGATGTATGCCCACAGATTTTACAGCAACACTCACTGTATTACAGACTATGAGCAGGAAATGATCATCCATGATAATTCACCACCAATATATGATATTATAAAAGCTTTGCTTCTGCATCCAGAGAGTTATTCCTGAAAACATTTTTTTACTGGACACTAATGTAAATAACAGAGAAAGACTCAACAACAGGGAGTGGAGCAATGCTAGACTTCAAGGTCTGTTACACTTTACTACTCTTTCTGGGATGATAAATATTTATAAAACTACTACATGATTCTTCAGTACTGAAGTCACTGCTATGTGACTGCAGCAAGTTGGCATGCTAATGTCAGAGATAAACAGTTAAAATTACTGTATAAATGTTTTGATATTGCAGTTGTTAAATTGTACCCTATTTTCTAAGAACTAATGAAACCTGAATTTAGACATTTGTTATGCCTGTGTGCTTAGGTTTTGGGGGGTTTTGGCCAATTCTACTCTGATTTTCACTTATGCAAATTATGCTTTACTTGATTTGAGACCTATAAAGTTAGCCTAGACAATATTAGTAATAAAATATAACAAAGAAGCACATAGGGTTTTTTTTTTTTATTAAGAATTATAAAACAGACTCTTTGAGGGAAAAAAGAATACAGATCCCCTGCCTTCAAAGGAGTTGAGTTCATCTAAACAGAAGCCAAGATAAAACATGTGAACAATTTATCAGCTTACATTAAATACTTGTTTTTAGTGACCTAGTGGACTCTGAGCAAGACTCTGTGTTAAGCTTCCTATACTCCTCATGGCTGCTCTTGCCTTCAGTCACACTTTTTACCTTGTTTTCCACATGTGCAACCAAGAAAATAAAGTCTATGTTATAATCTTCCTACTAATCTCATTTCAAATAACCCTCAATGAACAAGAATTTACTGTTTCTTCACATTATGATTTATATTATTTTATATATTATCAATACAGTTCAGAGGACTTTGTTGACTTATCTGTACTTCAGTACCTGGAGGTTCACAAGACACAATTTGCAGAAATAAGTACTATCTTCCTACCTCTTTCATATGTGTCATCTGTGAAATAATGTAAGCAAAGGTTGATATTGATCCATTTTAAAAAGTAAGTATAGCAAGTAGAAAGGAAGTCTTAAAGATCCCTAATTTCTTTAACCCAAACAATAACTGTGCAAAACCAGTCAATCATGCAGACTAACTCTTTCATGTTGTCACAGTTCACTTGTTCTCGCAAAATGCAGCAAACAATGGAGAAAGTAATGCCAAAACTCAGTTTCAAGGGTCCCAGGAGCAGTCATGGTGAAAGCACACACTGAACATTTGTGGCTGCCTTTCTTTTGACAGCTGACCATTAGCAAAAGAAAGGTCCAAACAGTCCAATAGCTTTAGCAAATTATTTGTGGAAACAATATCCTTTGAAATTGGAATATGCTCTTGATAGGAAACAGGTAGATATCTATGTCCAAGGATACTAAATTTGGGTGTTAATGTGTGCAACTTTCACAGAATGTATACAGATATTTATCTGTGCCCTCCAACTGAGAACAAAGTTTTATACCTCTCTCTCCAGAGAGAGCAGTCAAAGTGTAATTAGACCCGTCATGAAACACTATAAGGCCATCCTCACTCCAAGACTGAGAGCTCTTAGATTTCAGCACATTAACACAATCACTGCAGACCACATTTGACACAAATTCATTATGCTGGATTTTGTGATTTCCTAAAGCAAGACCCAGCGAGTTCTGCCCTTGCACATGCATACCCACTGCACATAAACAGCAATGATGGAGCAAATACCAATTTCTTTTAAATCTTAGCCTTGCACAGCACTACCGTAGATCAAGAAGAGGTGAGTACTTGATATTTATGTGAGATGAGACAGAAAGCTAGAAAGGTATTTCAAGTAACTGAAAAACTAAGAGATTTACCTATCAGTCCTCAGAGAATTCATCTGTAAGCCACAAAGATCAACTACTTTGAATAGACAATGTTGTTTCTGTATGTGAAACAAGGTGTTTGAATGTTTAATGTTACTGAGGATAGATGCCAGCGAGGTCTGCCTATGCTTAGGACACAGATGAGGTCAGTAAACCCTGACTGGGATAAAGGAGGCAGAGACAACACTGTGACAACTTAGCTGTTCTAGTCCTGAACTGCTCAACAGCATTAAAGGCTTGCAGGGCTATTATAGACTGGAAAACAATACCTTTAAAAGAATGATCATTCCACTGAATTCATTGAATGAAGGCAACAACCTTTCGAGATTGATGACTATCAAGACCTAATTGTATGGGTGATAGGCATCATTAGATGTTTTGTTTTCTGTTTGCATTCACGCTACACAGGAAAAAATTTCATGCAAATAACTACATTAGAACCTTTGAGAGATTCAGAAAAACTTGTTGATTTAGATACCA